ATGTTTATTTATTTTTGAGACAGAGAGAGACAGAGCATAAACAGGGGAGGGTCAGCGAGAGGGAGACACAGAATCTGAAACGGGCTCCAGGCTCTGAGCTGTCAGCACAGAGTCCGACGCGGGGCTCAAACTCACGGATCGTGAGATCATGACCTGAGCCGAAGCCGGACACTCAACTGACTGAGCCACCCAGGCGCCCCTTTTTTCTTTTTTTTCTTTTTTAATTTTTTTTTAACGTTTATTTATTTTTGAGACAGAGAGAGACAGAGCATGAACGGGAGGGGCAGAGAGAGAGGGAGACACAGAATCTGAAACGGGTTGAGTGCCAGTGTAAAGGAGAATAACATTAGGGGATCACAAAGAAGACCTAATCCCCTAAGCAAGTCAGTACAGAGAAGGTCTGTAGCTCAAATATGATGGGTAAAATGAAATCTAGTAAATTAGCCGTGACTGGCCTTGAGCTAAAATTGGGAAGGGAGATTTGCCTGTGATATTAGCAAGAGCTTTTTCCTCCATCTGATAATTACAAATTCCAATAAACAGTAGCCACTAGTGACTAAAACAGCCTGGTCTATATTTTATCAGAGCACAAGAAGAAGAGCCTCTCTTCTCCCTCACCACCATCCATTTTCTCTGCCACTTGGAGAGATTTCTCCAAGCGTCCTTGACTGTGCCGTTCGCTGCTGCAGGAATAGATTCCTGACCTCTTTCCGAGGGATGTGGGCAAGACACCTTACAGCCACCAAGTCCCTTGATCTCATTGTTCCCTCACCCTGCATTACAAACTGTCTCTTGAACTAATGACGTTCTTGTCACTGAAAGGAGTCAAGCAAAGTCTAGACAAAGCACACGTAGAGGGAATTCCTACATGAGATGAGAGGCTAGCCCAGGCTCATTCCAAACCTAAGGTTCTTCAAAGCTCTGAAACATTATAAAATAAAAAGACCATTTCCTGTGTGGTTTGAAATTCTGCCAAGAGGATCCTTTTTGAATGTTGCTAATAAAGACATCACACTGCCTGACTTGCTTCTCGAGAACTTCCTATTTCTCCATCTACCGCATCTTTTATATCATGCAAAAGGAACTTGTTTATATTTAGAAATACGATGAATATAAAATAACCTGAGTAAGGCAAACTGGAGTTTTCAGAGATTCAAATAAGTGATAGAATGGAAACAGCAGCAGAAGAAATCAGTGTTGGTAAAAGCAGAGAAAACAAACTAATTAGGTAAAATTCCATGTTGTAAAAGTTGGGAATGGTGCATTTTGAGACCTATTACCTCCTTTTTCCCTAGGTCCCTCTTTGAAAATGAGTTGAACCTACTAGATACTGAGGAGGAGACTAAATTCATAAACGATAATTTTTTAAATTACCATGTGTAGTATTTCTTCCAGTTTCACTTCATTTGCTTCTTGTAGAAAGATAAAAACTAAGAGATTCCATTAAAACTTTTAGTTTAGGGGCACCTGGGTGGCTCAGTCGGTTTAGCATCTGACTTCGGCTCAGGTCATGATCTCACAGTTCGTGAGTTTGAACCCCATGTAAGGCTCTGTGCTGACAGCTCAGTGCCTGGAGCCTGCCTCGGATTCTGTGTCTCCCTCTCTCTCTCTACCCCTCCCCTGCTCACACTCTGTCTCTCTCTCTCTGTCTCTCTCTGTCTCTCTCTCTCTCAGGAAATGAACAAACATTTAAAAAAATAATATTAGGGGCGCCTGGGTGGCTTAGTCGGTTGAGCGTCCGACTCTGGCTCAGGTCATGATCTCACAGTTTGTGAGTTCGAACCCTGCGTCAGGCTCTGTGCTGACAGCTCGGAGCCTGGAGCCTGCCTTTGATTCTGTGTCTCACTCTCTCTCTGCCCCTCCCCTTCTCACACTCTGTCTCTCTCTGTCTCAAAAATAAACATTAAAAAAATAATAAGAATAAAACGTTTAGTTTAGTATCAAACCTAAATGTATTTTAAATAAAATTAATGTATAAAATTATGATTTTTTAAACCTTTAAAATTACTATATTATAAGAAAACCCAGTTATGCATAATGTACTTTATGTATGTACTCTAAACTAATAACCTCCTGTAGATCTATACAAAACATCCCCAAAGTATCCATACGTTTTCTCTTTTTTCCAGATTTTATTTTTCTGAGGAAATGAAAAGTAACCCAGTATTCCAAACCTTCCAGAAGTGATCACTCTCTCAGTAGATAGGTAGATACATAGATATAGATATGGTTGATATACATATAGACCATATATAGATATAGGTATAGATGTAGATGTAGATATATCTGCCTCTATCTCATATACGGGTAAAAATACAATTTGGCAGTTAAAGTCATAAAATAAGTATAGATACAAAGTTTTCAGTATAAGGATATTCAACATAAGATTATTTATACCAGTTTAAAAATTTTTTTAATGTTTATTTCTTTTAAGAGAGAGAGAGAGAGCACGCACACATGATCAGGGGAGGGGCAGAAAGAGAATCCCAAGCAGACTCCACACTGTTAGCACAGACCCCGATGTGGGGCTTGAACTCACAAACCATGAGATCATGGCCTGAACCCAAATCCAGAGTCAGATGCTGAACCAACTGAGCCATTCAGGCACCCCTACACCCGTTAAAAGTTTGAATTTATATTTCTAGCAATAGGAATAGTGTAGGGCTTATATCCTTGAGCTTTGAAGTCAGATAAACCTGAGTCTGAATCCCAGGACTTCTACCTATTATCTGTGCAATTGGGACAAGTTATTTAATCCTTCTGAGCCTCAGTTTTCTCTTTTGTAAAATGGAGAAAATCAGAGTTTTTTTAAGGATCTAAGGGCGATGGGCAGGGATAGGGCAGAGGTGGACCTTGGTGGCCAATATTTTCTCGCTGCATCTCCTCTGGATATATTGTGATGCATACAGTCATTCCAGTCAGCAAAAACTGAAGAATGGAACTAACATTTGCTGGTTTCATATATGTATTAAATCTTCTCATGTCTTTTGTCAGGGATAAAGATTTACCAGGATCTCTCCCGTGCCAATTACAGCACAAAGAAAGGAAGCTGAATGCTTCACAAATACAAGGTAATGAGAATCATCCCCAAATGAAAGCTCCTTGATATATCTGATCATTTTCTTCTCTGAGATCTGTAACTTCAAGGGTTGACTGTAGTCCTCTGCTATTTGAGACCAGAAGTTCTAATGCAGTGTCTAATTTATGGGAAGGAAGGGCGATTATTTTCAAACCGACATCTTCCTAGAATTTGGACAGTCCTAGACAAATATTTTTATTCAAATAAGGACTTGTGGGTACGCAAAAGAACAAATGCAAAGTCAAATAGAAATCAAGTAATGAAGCCCCAGGATTTCTCACAGAAAAAAAAAATCATAATGATAAAATTAGCTAAGCTTCCTACAGTTTATCAGTCCAAATAGCAAATATTTATTTAAAGCCCACGATGTAGTAAGCCTGGGAAACATGGTCATTGCCCTGATAGGAAGTCTTTCAGACAAGTCAGATCATTAAAGTGTGAATTTTTGACTGAAACAATTTAAATCACAATATGACACAAGTTATGATAGGGGAAGTATAAAGTATTATGGGAGCATAAAAGACAGTCTCCTGACTTGGTCTTGGGAGGATAGAAAGGGAGTCCCAGAGAAGGTTGGATAATGAGTGGAAGGCAGACAGCAAACAGGAAGCGTTCTGGGCAAGATAGAGTAGAATCTGCAAAGGCCCAAAGGAAAGGGAAAGCATGACTCGTTAGAAAAAAAAGAAAACAAAACAAAAAAGAAAGAAAGTCAGTCATGACTGTGTTTGGGTTCTGGGAAGGCTAATGCTTCACCCTCCAAGTTTGGGACCAGTTGAAAAAACAGGAAGTAAAGAATCACCTTTATTTCTGGGAAAACCGGTTTGAAAAACAAAAGATTGTCAAGATCGGAATTGCATTTATCCTTGTAAAACTGAGCTAAATGCCTTAATAATAGTTTATAGGGGTGCCTGGGTGGCTCAGTCGGTTAAGTGTCAGACTCTTGGTTTGGCTCAGGTCTTGATCTCACGATTTTGTGGATTCGAGGCCCGCATGGAGCTCTGCACGGGAAGTGCAGAGCCTGCTTAGAATTCTCTCTCTCTTCCTCTCTCTCTGCCCCTCCCTAACTCGGGCTGTCCCTGTCTCTCTCAAAATAAATAAATAAACTTTAAAATAATAATAATCACAACAACAACAACAGTTGATAGCCTTCTAAAACTTTAAGGTTTCGGGGCACCTAGGTGGCTCAGTCAGTTAAGCGGCCGACTTGGGCTCAGGTCACGATCTCGCGGTCCGTGAGTTTGAGCCCCACGTCGGGCTCTGTGCTGACAGCTCAGAGCCTGGAGCCTGTTTCAGATTCTGTGTCTCCCTCTCTCTGACCCTCCCTCGTTCATGCTCTGTCTCTCTCTGTCTCAAAAATAAATAAACATTAAAAAAATTTTTTTTAAACTTTAAGGTTTCTAATAGCATTCATATACATTGATGCTTGTTTTAAGGGTTCCCAGGATCTATTTTAATTGGGTATTATAAGACAGACAGACACATAAATGACCGTCAAGGAGGAAGAAAGTGTTATACTCCTACATCCCTAGAAATAGGAGGCACAGCAAACCATGAAGGGCACACGGGGCAGCACCAGAGTCAGCCAGGAGGCAAAGTGGAGGGTGGGGGGCAGTGGGCAAGGTCCCTTCCTGTGGTTTCTGCAGGAAGGAACAGGTTTTAAATACTACTTACATGCTGACACTTCCCAAATGTGTATGTCCAGCCCAAGCCTCTCTCCCCAGCTCCAGGCTCATATGTGATTGCCTCCTTGACACCTCCAATTATATGTCTAATAGATACTGCAAAATCAACACATCCCAAACTGAACTCCTGATGTGTTCTTCATACACTCTTTTTCATTGTGGTAAAATACACACAACATAGGGGCACCTGGGTGACACTCAGTGTCCAACTCAGTTTCGGCTCAGGTAATGATCCCAGAGTCATAAGATCGAGCCCTGTGTCGGACTCCATGCTGAGCATGGTGCCTGCTTAAGATTCTCTCTCTCTCTCCCTCTGCCCCTCTCCCCCACTCACATGCTCTCTCTTTCTCTCTAAAATAAAAAATTAAACTAAATTTAATTAATTTCAAAAATACACATAACATAAAAATTACAGTGTTAACCATTTTCAAGTGTATACGTACAGATCAGTGGCATTAAATATATTCACATGTTCTACAGCCATCACCACATCCACCTCCATATATTTTCATCTTCCCAAACTGAACCTCCACACCCACTAAACAGTACCTCCCCATTCTTCCCTCCCCTCAGCCTCTTACTCTTAAAACATGCTCGACCCACAACCTTCCCCATCTCAGATGATGATATTCCATCTTTCACTATTCTGGAAAAAAAATCTTGACTCTTCTGTCTCACCCTACCTATCAGTCCACCAGGAAATCTCATTGGCTCCACCTTTAAAATACATCTAGAAGCAGCCAGTTCTTACCACCTCTGCTCCAACCCTGGTCGGAGGCACCATTGTTGTTCACCCACAATAGCCTCCTGACCACCAGTCTCCAACTTGTATCCAAACTCTTCCAAAAGTCTGTTTTTCTAACGGCCAGAGTGATCCTGTTGAAACATAAGTCAGGTGGGTGTGAGGGGAGGAGATGACCTAAGGAACTTTGAAAATGGTGTTTTGACTGGAAACTCTAAGACCCGACACAAAGGGAACTGTACAGAAACAACGCACTCTAGCCAGTAAAGTTGTTTCCCATAGGGGTATAGCTTAACAATTCTGAAACTGTTGTACCTATGGACTGGGTGGAGTAACTCAGTAAATGGACGGCAGATGGCAGAAGCCAGGTTTCTCACGGTTTGGAGTGGGAAGTTACAGATAAACACGGGGAGAAGGCTCCAGTAAACCAGTGGTGCTGGCTTAGGTTCTGAGACATCAGTGTGAACTCATGTTTAGCTTCATATGAATACAGATGGACAGATCAAGAAATAATTAGAAGTATGTGTGTATCCATGTGTTACTATCCATGCACAGTATTTCCTAGCTCTGTCGGCTGAGAGGACTTAGAAGCATCAATACCCCCACAGCATACCCACCACCCAGATCTCGACTCCTAATGCCGGTCTCCCATAAAAGAAGCAGACTGGCTTGGATAAATGGCTGATTCTGGGGCCCGGGCAGTGAATAGACAAGACAAACCTGGGACATGTTATGGTGGCAGAAAGTAAGGAAGCACTCAGGAAACAAAAGGACACAGGAGCTTTTCAAAGGGATGCATGAGGGCAACCTGGAAGGGCTCACAATGATTAAAGCTAGAGTAATTTGGGGCAACCAAAATAAATAAAGTAGTGTTGGGTTATAACTCCAAGTATAAAAAGAATAGCTGCAAGTCCATACTGACAGAAATAAATGATTGAATTTTTTTACAGTCTTTCAAAGATAAAATTTATTAGGATGAGAGCATTCTTTCGTATTTCTACATTGTTGATATTAGATAGCAAGAATAGATGTTCTTGTCAAGTACTTTTTTCTGTCTCTTGAAATTACCACATTTTTTCATGTTTAGCTTGATAAGATGATACATTAATACATGGTTTTGATTATTAAATCAACCTTTTATTCCTGGGATAAATCCTAGTTGGTCATTGATTGAATTTTTGTTTTAATGGAGAAGCGAGAACTCTCCCTTACGAGAGAATTCCAAATAATGAATGTAGTTACTACCTCCTCCGGGAGATGGCGCTTCATTCCCCGGCCCTCCGGCCCTTGAGTCTGGACTTCCCTTAGTGACTTGCTTCCAAAGAGTAGAAAAATGGAAAGGAGGGAAGTAACTTTACAGGGGGAAACCCTTACGAACACTCCCTCAGCCAGGTAATCCAGGTAAACATATCCGTGCCGAGTCATCTTGACAATATGCAGCCTTCTTACACCGTGAGGAGAACGTTACCTCACTTTGCTCATCTTCTTTCCAAAAATCCATGATCTCAGGCTAACCATGAGAAAAACATTAGAAAACCCAAGATTGAGGGACTTCCACAAAAGTGCCTGAGCAGTACTCCTCAAAACTGCCAAGGTCATCAAAAACAAGAAAAGTCTGAGAAACTGTGACAGAGAAGAGGCTAAAAAGACGTGACAACTAAATGTAATAGAGTATCCTGGATGGGATAGACTATTTCCTGGAGTGGGAAAGACTAATGAAATCCCATTCATGTCTACAGTTTAGTTAATAGCACTACACCAGTGTTGGCTTCTTAGATGTAATGAATGTCCCAGAGTAATGTAAGGTGCTAACATTAGGGAAAACTGGGTGAGGGATCTACAGGATCCCTGGCCTATCTTTGCAACTATATCTAAAACCAATCTGAAGTAAAATTTGGGGTGCCAGGGTGGCTCGGGTGGTTAAGTGCCCAACTCTTGATTTCAGCTCAGGTCATAATCCCACAGTTCATAAGTTTGAGCCTCACATCAGGCTCTGCACGGACAGTGTGAAGCCTGCTTGGGATTCTCTCTCCTCTCTCTCTCTTTCTCTCTCTCTCTCTTCCCAAACAAGTAAATAAACTTTTAAAAGTGCATTTTAAAATAAAATTTAAAATAAATGGTAAAATATACCCACACACGCTCACACACATACACACACACACACACACACACACACACACACACACACACACACACTACACTTCTGACCTTTCCTGTTCCTCTCCTGTTGCTCACTCCGATCCAGACACACCAGCCTCTTTGTTGTTCCTGGAACATGCCAGGCCTGTTCCCCGTGGCACCTTCACTCTGGCTCTTCCCTCTGTCTGGTCCTCTCTTCTCCCTGATATCTATTCCCTCATCCCCTTGAAGTCTTTGCTCAGATCTCACGTATTTAATACAAGCAACCTATCCCTCAATCCCTGGAACTCCCAATCCCCCCAACATGCATTTCTTTTTCTTTTTTCCTTTGTCTTCTACCTTGTAACATGTTATCCAACTTACCTATTTATTATATTTATATAAGTGCAGAGATCTTTGTCTATTTAGGGCACTAGTGCAGCCTAGGCACCTAGAGCAGCACCTGACGCAGAGAAGACATTCGTATTTGGGATGCCTGGGGGGCTCAGTCAGTTAAGCGTCCAACTTCAGCTCAGGTCATGATCTCACAGTTCGTGAGTTCGAGCCCCACGTCGGGCTCTGTGCTGACAGCTCAGAGCCTGGAGCCTGCTTCGGATTCTGTGCCTCTGTCTCTCTCTGCCCCTTCTCTGTTCATGTTCTGTCTGTCTCTTTCTCTCAAAAATAAATGAACATTAAAAAAAAGACATGCGTATTTGTTGAAAGGCTGCATGAATGAAGGTAATACCTACTAACATGCTAGAAATACTAGGGAGAAATTAGAAACCAGTCAGAGATGGCTCCAGCCTTAGAGAAGCCTGCCTCCTATCAAGGGAGAAAGATGTTACCTATTCACACAATTTTAAGACAGGTATCATTATCTCTATAAGATGAATCTCATACATACAGACACATTGCATACATATAGATGCTAATACTTGACTGTGATATGAAATAAGTTTTATTCTGGTGCCATTTGGGATATACTTTGTTCTCGGTTTATTTCTTCATTCGCTGATTTTAGAAAATACATGTCTAAGTTTGGCTCCAGTTAATGCCTGGAGTATGTCTTTGAAAAAACTTTGACTCTATTCAAAACATTCGCATGCATATAATTTGGGTATATTTGGGTCCATTCGTTTTCTGTTGCTGCCGTAACAAATTGCCACACACTTAGCAGCTTAAAACAACACAGATGTATTATCTCACAGCTCTGTGAGTCAGAAGTCCAGGCGGGTTCAGCTAGTTCCTCTTCTCTGGGTCTTTCAAGGCCAAAATGAAGGAGTTGGCCAGCCTGGCTTCTTACCAAGAGGCTCTAAAGAAAAATCTACTTCCAAGCTTATTTAGGTTCTTGGTAGAATCCAGTTCCTTGTGGTTCTTGGGGCTGAGGACCCATTTCCTTACTGGCTGTTAGCCAGGAGTCTCTCTCAGCCCCGTAAAACCATCTGCATTCCACATTACATGACCCCATCCATCTTCAAACCAATCCCTCCTCATTCTTTGAATCTCTCTGATCTCTCTTTTTGCCACATCTCTCTTGCTTCTGGCTGCCTAAGGGACCTGTAATTATTTTGGGCACACTCCGATAATCCACAATAATTTATCTTAATTATAACTGCAAAGTCCTTTTTATTGTGTAAGTAATACATCCACAGATTCCAGGGATTAGGGCATGGACATCTTTCAAAGACCATTTTGCGAACATACTTGGTTTTCCACCAAGTAGTTTATTCCAGTTCAAATCTCATGGAAGGATGATGTCCTTTATATGAAATGTCTATTATGTACTCATTTTTCTCTCAATAATTTTTTAGAACATGATCTCCAATCAACTATATAGTCTGTCCTAGTTCATTAGAATATGTACTCATTCTTGGGGCGCCTGGGTGGCGCTGTCGGTTAAGCGTCCGACTTCAGCCAGGTCACGATCTCGCAGTCCCTGAGTTCGAGCCCCGCATCAGGCTCTGGGCTGATGGCTCAGAGCCTGGAGCCTGTTTCCGATTCTGTGTCTCCCTCTCTCTCTGCCCCTCCCCCGTTCATGCTCTGTCTCTCTCTGTCCCAAAAATAAATAAATGTTGAAAAAAAAAAGAATATGTACTCATTCTTTTTTTAATACATTTTTTAGTATTTATTTTTGGAAGAGAGAGACACAGCACGAGTAAGGGAGGGGCAGAGGGAAAGGGAGACAGAGAATCCGAAGCAGGCTCCAGGCTCTGAGCTGTCAGCACAGAGCCTGACACGGGGCTCGAACTCACAAACCGTGAGATCATGACCTGAAATGAAGTCAGACATTCAACCGGCTGAGCCACCAAGGCACCTCTATACTCATTCTTGAATAACTAACTATCTGACTAACTTAACTGCATTTCCTCAGCCTTCCAAGATGCCTACAACTTCTTTAACAAGGATAAAACTGGCTGTATTGATTTACATGGAATGATGTGCACTCTAGCCAAGTTGGGAATGAATCTAACCAAGCATGATGTCTATAATGAATTAAAATGTGCTGATATTGATGGTGAGTACTTTGACTTGTAATTACTTTTCTCATAGAAGGTTTTTATAAATTTATATATTTCTATCAGTGATTACATAAATGAGAAATAAATCTCATTTATTGTCAAAAGTACATATACGTGTTTCTCTTTAAGGATATCAGTAAAGTATGTGTACAAGTTACAAAATCAAATTGTACAAAATGGACTATCCTTTGAAAAGTTCTGTGTGGAAACTAAAAGTGACTGTCATATTTCAACATCAAATTCAGATTACTTGTCATGATGTACATTTTGGAGGGTGCCTTGAAATAACAGATACAAAGTCATTGACAATTTCAAAAATGACATGTTACCAAGAAAATCCAAGCCCTTTGTTTCCATTTGAATCTTATTAGTACAAATCTTCCTTCCATCATTAGAGCCCACCTACATATTTTTTAATTTATTTAAATTCCAAGTTAGTTAACATACAATGTAGTATTGGTTTCCAGAGTAGAACCCAGTGATTCATCACTTACATATAACACCGTGCTCATCCCAAGTGCCCTCCTTAATGCCCATCACCCACTGAGCCCATCTGTACTGTGACAAAAATGCCACAGCATTTTTGTTGCTATTTTTAAAGCTGTTAGATAACATTCCCTTTGAATACACTGACCTAGTGATTATAGCCCATGCTGATATGTTGTATGGAGTATATATTCACTATCTCCTCTCACCTCTCCCCACCCAACTGCCAGTGCCCCATTCAATTAGCATAAGGCCCACATGTGAATCAGTGTCACTGGTCAATTAAGGCATCACTTGTTTCCACTAACTCCGCCCAATTTGTCTGTTCTTTCATCAGAACACACATACATACCTCTAACAGCACTATTCTTTAACGTTAGAGGTGACTGGGTACAACTTGGGGTTGTTTTAATAATAAAAATAGCAGAGGGGGGGTATGGGAAGCCAGGGGTGGATTCCATGCAAAAATGGCAAGTCTCCAGGAAAGGAGTGAGTGGTTAGGACTGCAGGGGCTGAGAGCCTGGTTGATGTTTTTACCCCACCATTGCTTCTGGTGGCTGTGGGTGACTCATGTAACAGTGCTAAAACCACTTCGAGAAGACCAGTGCTCACCTGAGCACATCTCCAGCCTTAACATGCTGTGATTTTACGTATTGAATAGTCCAAGGTGTTTTCATTTGACATTTAACATATAATCTAATTACTAAAATGCATCTTATATCTTTGTTCTGAGCCTTCACATTTCTGTTTCAGGGGATGGAAAGGTGAATTTCTCAGACTTCATAAAGGTGTTAACAGATAAGAACCTCTTTCTTAAAGCTGTGGGTGAGTAGAGCTATTACAGAACAGATGGCAGCTGGGTAGCTGTGAGTCACTGCATAGTAACTATTATTCATTTAGGCCTCTGATCAGGAGACACGTGAGGAAGGTGTATTCTGGGGTGAGATTTACTTGCCATACTGCTTCTCCAAAACACTATTTGCTAAGCAAATTGATACAGTTTTAGAATTTTATGCATCAAGTCCTTCTGCAGGAGACACTGCTTTTTGGTCTCTGGTGTGAACATTTGGAGTAGTGTAGAAAAAATCGGTCACCTTTTATAATATTCTTTACCAAGCGCCTGTGCTACTTTGAGAGGAGCTCCCTTTACAAATGAAAAATTTTTTTTAGAAAAAGAAAAATGCTCTCTCGTGCAAATTTGGGTATAAATAATTTACTATTCCTAAAAAATACCTTCCTCACCCTGATGAAGTCTTCCCTCAGTGCAAGGACTGGAGAGTCGGCTAGAGGTTAAAGAGCATATTCTCACACACGGTCATAAATGATGTGAAAGTGTACTTGACATATTATTAGTCCTCTGATGGTTTATTTATGAGTTTAACAGCCTGCCTTGGAAAAACTAACCACAATTCAGGTTATATTTTCTAGGATAAATACATTCTAAATTCTAACTACTGTGTACTGTTTTGAAAACACACTCATTCAGGGGCACCTGGGTCGCTCAGTCGGTTAAGCATCTGACTCTTGGTTTCGGCTCAGGTCACGATCCCAGGGTCATGGGATCGAGCCCAGTGTCAAGCCTGTGCTGAGTGTGGAGTCTGCTTAAGTTTCTCTCACTCTCTCTCTCCCCCTCTCCCCTGCTCACTCTTTTTCTCTAAAATAAAAAAAAAATTGTTTTTAAAGCACTCATTCATAGGCTGTGAACTGTCCTTAGAATAAACAGAAGTTACTGCTTCAAGTACTACTATAGTAACAAGGGTTTGCTTGCAAACCCGAGATATGTTTATCAACAATTTCTTAATCTAGAAGAACAATAGTCCTTAATACATGAGTCGTGTTTATGTTAAATTCAATTTAATTACAAGTCATATTTACTTCAAGTCAATATATACTTAGAAGTCACTGAACTAAAAGTATTTATTTATTTTGAGAAAAAGAATGCATGAGCCCGTGTGAGCAGGGGAAGGGCACAAAGAGAGGGAGGGAAAGAGAATCCTAAGCAGGCTCTGCACTGGCAGCGTGGAGCCCGAAGCGGGGTTCGACACGGTGTTCAAACCCATGACCCAAGCCAAAACCAAGAGTCGGTTGTTAACCAACTGAGCCACCCAGGCTCCCAGAACTAAAAGTATTTTTTAATGATTATTCTGTCTGTTCAGTAATTAAAATGACCTTTCTACCAAATAGAACAGATTTTTTAATGTTTTTCTATAACTCTCTAGTACCTAACCTGGTATTACTCTTGTAAATAGAATAAAAAGACTTGTCAGCTTATTACTTTTTTTGACAGATGGTTTTTTCAGAAAGCATTTTGAATTTTTTTCTCCTTCATAGTTCCAGAAAAGGAGAAATGTTTAGATTTAGCTGGCAACCCAGGGATCCTGTTGTTTGAAATCCTATCAAAGCTTGTAGAGACTTCGGCCTTACCCAGAAAGGCTATAATGGAAATAGTAAGGTAAGTGGCAAAGAAAGGGGTAAAAACAGCCTTCTTAGAAGCACTTATGAGGATATGTACAAGGCAGTCACCTCTGATTAACATCCTTCTCCACAGGGTCTGCCCCAGAACAAAGGAGATGGGGTCTGTGGCAATGCTCACGTGCCACATGAGACCTAATTCCTTCATCCCAACTGTGCTACCTCGTTCTGAAATTGCAAGACTGACCTCAGTCCATCTCAGGGCCCACTGAAGGCCTAAGACAACCAAGAAAGTTCAGACTCTCCTACCCTATGCTAGAGAATCCCAGAAGAATTCAGACTTTTCCAGGGATGATCTTTGTGTTGGGCTTGGAAATCTCATTTGGAAGACACTCTCATTCATGTTGGAACTCCCTGGGGCTTCCTTTGACTCTGGGACGATGTATAGCAATTTCAGACATCCCAAAGTAGCCTTTTGGACTGGGGCACAGCCAGAAGTAGACCCGAGAATGGAGGATGAGGAAATATTCTCACACCCAAATGTGTTTTATTCCAACAAATATCACTAAAGATAAAATTTCTCAATCTATTGTTATCATTATATTATATTGAATGTTGCTGTTACCAATTTTTTAACTAATTCTCTTTCAAAGTTGTGCCTTCCCTCCTAGGCTTAAAAATACAGAATGTTTTCTGAATCCTCCGTGGGTAGCTCTATGCTGTCCTGTATCTGTCAGGTGTGGAACAGAAGGCACACAAAATTCTACTCTTCATTCCAGTTCAAAGGCATTTATTAAATGCCTGTTATTAGTACACAAACTTGACACATTGCTTAACCTTTCAGCCTTGGTTTTCTCACCTATAAAATGGGAACAACAATAATAATACCCACCTTATAGGGCATTTGTGGGAACGTAGGACTAAATATTCCTAGAACCCCATAAAAAATAACTATTATTATGTGGAAGTAACTAGAATAATCATACCATATATATATATATATATATATATATATATATATATATATATATATATATATATATATATATATATATATATATATATATATATATATATATATATATATATAATGTTTGAATCCTCACCTCCTTAATGGGTACTATTGTCCTCATTTTACAAATGAAAAACCTAAAGTACAGGTAGTTGTACTTTGCCCCAAGGAGCAATGGTGCCTGGATTTTAGCACAGTCTGATTCCAGAACCCACGCTCTTCTCCACTGCCCTACACTGCCTCTCACACCCAGTAAGTGACCAGGAAATGTTTGCTGATATTGGTGTTTTGATGATGATGATGATGATGATGTTGTTGATGATGATGATGGTTGTTACTTATCATATACCTGGTTTCTAAGGAGATGAAGTGTTTGATATGTAGTGTTTGCATTTAAGGAACTTAAAATATAAATTGAAAGTAAAGCCCTAAGTACGTAGACAACTAAATAATGCCAAATGAGTGGCAAAGATCATTCATGTAGTTTCCTGAGAAAGCCGGTCTTGAGCTGGGTAATGGTAGAATTTGACAGGTGTTCCTGTAGTTGATTACAACGTTTACTAAACATTATGTGCAATTTCTGAGTGTGCACTTTACACGCATTAGCTTTTTCCTGGATTGCTGCCTCCTAACTGGTCTCCCTGTTTGTACCTTTTGGTTCCCCACCCCAGCTTGCCCACTCCAGTCTATTCTCAACACTCCCTCTATCTAGCTGATGTCTTAATGCCTACAGCACCAAATGATCCTTTTAAAATGTCGGATCATGTCAGTCCTCTGCTCAAAATCTTCAGCCAATGGGGCATCTGGGTGGCTCAGTCAGTTAAGCATTCGACTCGGTTCAGTTCAGGTCATGATTTCGTGGTTTCATGAAATCCCTGCATCAGGCTCAGCACTGACCGTGCAGAGTCTGCTTAGAATTCTCTCTCTCCCTCTCTCTCTCTGCCCTTCTCCCACTTGTGCTGTCTCTGTCTCTCTCAAAATAAACTTAAAAACATAAAATATTATTTAAAAAAACCTTCAAAACCCTTCCATTTCCCTCTGAGTATGAGTCTTAGACTGTATATGACTTATTGGTCTTCTAGGTGACCTGCCCTCACTTTTGACCTCTTTGACTTTGTCTCCTGTTACTCTGCTCCATTCAGGCTAGCACCCTTGCTGTTCCTCAAATACACCAGACATGCTCCTGCCTCAAGACCTTTAAATTACACTAAGAGAAATGAGCATTATATATTTTCAGAGGAGGATAAGAACATTGTGGATAGTTGGGCTCAAGGTTAAGGAAGGAATTATCTGATTATAAACCAGACTGCTATGGCACCTGTGTGGCTCAGTCCATTGAGCATCTGACTCTGGATTTTGGCTCAGGTCATGATCCTAGGATCATGGGATAGAGCCCCAAGTTGGGGTCCACACTGAGCAAGGAGCCTACTTAAGATTCATTCATATGCTCTCTCTCTCTCTCCCTCTCTCTCTCTCTCCCCTCCACTTTCCCCCTGTCCGCTGATCACACACTCTTTCTTTCTAATAAAATAAAATAAAATAAAATAAAATAAAATAAAATAAAATAAAATTTATAAACCAGACTCTAAGCAGAACGCTATTGGCACATCTACCCAACCACTGCTGCAGCTCCAACATTTAGAATGAGTTCTTTCCCTCTTTCTGAGAGGAAAAAAAAAAAGGTTCCGCCTGTCATCATCCCAGAATGCAATGAAGCTTCCCATTGTAACAGAAAAATCTACTGTGTATTGATAAGCAGGTCTTGCATTTCGTCCTCTAGACAGTAAGCATTGACTGTCCTCTGCTCTGTAAACTGAGGCAGGGTCTCCCACATTACAAGCCCCTATACCAAGTCCTCCTCCACCACCACAGCTCCAGAGAGGCGTCCATGGTTCCAGCACCACCAAGAGAGGGAATCTGATCTGCAATGAATGTTTAAGGCATGCATGTTTGTAAATCAGATGTCTATACCTTTAGGATGTGCTGTGAATGAGGATTCCCTTAGCATATCTTAAAAGTATTTATAAACTAAAATGCATTAACAGATCTCTAAATCCGTTGATACACAATGTACACACACACACACAGCTGAAAATGCAACCAATAGTAATTTACTGAATAGTAAGATTATTGGTGATACTTCCTTTTTTTTTTTTAATTTTTCAACGTTTATTTTTGGGACAGAGAGAGACAGAGCATGAGCAGGGAGGGGGCAGAGAGGAGGCACAGAGATGGGAAACAGGCTCCAGGCTCTGAGCCATCAGCCCAGAGCCCTGGCAGGCTTTCGGGCAGGACCCGGCCGAGATGGTGACCTATGGCTGAAGTGGGACGGCTAAACCACCCAGGCGATACTTCCTTTATACTCTTCTGCATTTCAAATTCTCTGCAATAGTTTCTTTTAATTAAAGAAAGTTGCATTTAAACTCAACACAAAAGTAATATAATGGTAGGCATGATTAATGTTTCCTTCAAGCTGGTACCACTCAAAGGCTTTGTCAGGATCCCTATTGATAGGTATTTTCTAGACAAGACTTGAGTTTGAGAGGAGGAGGAAGAAGCCAAAGCCCAGAAACTAGAAATATAAGCTAGCCAAATGGCCTGGAAAAGTATTGATAGATATTCTAGGAATGTCACAAAAATTAAGCACTCAGTAAATGATATTGAATGAATATAAATTAAGTTTAAATAAATGGATTCAGCCAATACAATGGACTTTTCCTTTTCAACACTTAGGCAGTTTTCAGTAGGACTATACAGCACTTCTTTTTTAATTCCTTTTTTTTTTTTTTTTAGCTATTTCCCAAAGAAAATTCCCAGGAAATCAGACAGAGAATGTTATGGAATCCCTACACCATGGCTTATGAAAAAAGGAGATTTAAGCAAGACATATGCACCCCTCCCAGCTCAAGCACATTGTAGCTTTGCCCAATGCTGCCCGGTTCTTAATGAAGAAAGGATTTATTTAAATTTCTTGAAGAGCTCAAGAGTAAGAGCCATTTGTCCTCTCCCCACTGTTGCAAAGGATTTATTTGTAGATTACTGGTCAGAAATAAACACTAGAGGTCAAGTGCTATAGAAACAGGACCACAGGGGCGCCTGGGTGGCGCAGTCGGTTAAGCGTCCGACTTCCTTCCAGGTCACAGTCTAGCAGTCGTGATTCAGAGCCCTTTGTCAGGCTCTCAGGCTGATGGCTCTCAGAGCAGGAGTCTCTTTCGATTCTGTGTCTCCCTCTCTCTCTGCCCCGTTCATGCTCTGTCTCTCTCTGTCCCAAAAAATAAATGTTGAAAAAAAAAATTTAAAAAGAAACAGGACCACAGCCTATTCTGTCTGGTCTATGTCACACAAGTATCATTGGAAAGCATATCTGCATCTTAACCTGAGTCCTCATGATTCAGGTGAAGCCTAGAGTCTGGGGGCGGAGGAGAGGGCAGGAGAGTGAAGAGTGGGGGTCACAGCCACTGAGAAGACTAGACAAAGAGCAAAACAGGCACTACATGTATGTCTTTTATGTGAATTTCCTCTTACACGGTTCATAATATCATTTTTGTTTTTATCTTTAGGGTGCAATCCTCCTTCAGATAGCCCATATTCAAAAATACCCATCTTTCCATTGTTTCCTAATGTGGATGGGGTGGTGATGGGAAAGCCATTCAAAGACATGCAGAAATTAGAAATGCTAAGGAGAAAGGAGCCTCTGAACTTCTTTGAGAACTATTTTTTCCATAAAAGAGACTGGAAAGCACAGGTAAGATTTCAATTATTAATTAATTCAAATTAATATTAGTTAAACAGTTAATTCAAATACTTAAGTTTCTAAGTTCTAACTTAACAGAACTAATAACATGTTTTTTAATGACAAACATTTTCAGTCATTGTATTTTTTTAATTTTTTTTAGTGTTTATTCATTTTTGAGAGAGAGCAGGGGAGGGGCAGAAGTGGGGGGTTGGGGGACAGAGGATCTGAAGCAGGCCCTGTGCTGACAGCAGAGAGCCCGATGTGGGGCTTGAACTCATGAACCATGAGATCATGACCTGAGCTGAAGTCAGACGCCCAACCGAGCCACCCGGGTGCCCCTTTTTAATAGATATTAATTCTGCTACTTCAAGATCAAAAATTTCTGCATGGCCAAAAATAATCACATTTGCAACTCGTACACAAAGGGCTAACTCCTTTAATACATCAAAGAGCTTCAAATTGATTAGAAAGAAACTAACTTGTATAAAAATAAGCAAAGGATATGAACAGATAGTTCTCAGTAGTGTGAAAAGATATTCAATCCCATTCTTCATAAAAGATCCAAATCAAAACCACCCTGAAAGTGGTAATGCAGAAAGATAGTATCTTTCCATATTAGACTGACCAAGATCAAAAGGTTGAAAAATACATGGGGTACTCATAAATTGCAGATAGGAGTTTAAATTGGTTCAACCTCCACAGAGGAAATTTGGTAATACCTACCAAAGTGACAGACCTCACACCTGTGGACTATGAGTGAGGAACAATTTCTCCACTGCGCTCTTAGGGTCTTTCGGCTGAGCCTGAGAATTAAATTGACATAAGACAGATCAACAGAAAAGCATACACATTTTTAAAATTTTACAGGTACGTGGGAGTCCCCACAGAAAACGAAGACTCAAAGTAGCAGAGTCCAACACTTGTGTGCTAAATTGGCCAAAGAGTTGTAAATAGGGTGAAAACGTGTCCAGGCAAAGGGACTTGGCCTAGGGTAGTTAACTGGGTGGAGTTTAGAAGACAAAGGTTAGTTTAACACGATTTGTACAGATTTCTGCCAGCCTCAACTCCCCATTCCCAGTGATAAGAATGTTACTTTCCTCCCGGTATAAAGAGAGCATCTTCCATATGGGGCGTTGATCTCCTGCATTCAGGAAGGAAGAGGAGAGAGATCAGAGTGCTCTTCTTAACACCCGCTGTTTTCCAAGTCCCTTTAACTCAAAATACTCCTTTTGGGGAGCCTGGGTGGCTTGGTCGGTTAAGCGTCCGACTTCGGCTCAGGTCACGATCTCGCAGTCCGTGAGTTTGAGCCCCGCGTCGGGCTCTGTGCTGACAGCTCAGAGCCTGGAACCTGTTTCAGATTCTGCGTCTCCCTCTCTCTCTGCCCCTCCCCTGTTCATGCTCTGTCTCTCTCTGTCTCAAAAATAAACGTTAAAAAAAAATTTTTTTTTTTAATAAATAAAAATAAATAAATAAATAAATACTCCTTTTGCCAAAGTCACATATTTGGGGTGGCATATTCAGCCACCTTCATGACCTAGCATCTCACCCCGAGGACACTATCTGGGATACACTTGTTCCAAATGCCACCCATACAGGGCAACTCATTACATGGTTGTTTATACTAGCAAACGGTTGGGGAAATAACTAAATGACCATTTACTAGATTAACTCTATTACCGGGTTAACTATTTACTAGGTTAACTACTACTGTATTTACTAGGTTAAATAACTAGGGGACTAGTTAAATTATGCTTTATCCTTACCATGAAATATTCTGCAGCCATTTTTAAAAAATTTATTTATTTTGGGGAGAGAAAGAGAGTGAGAGAGAGAGAGAGAGAGAGAGAGAGAGAGAGAGAGAGAGAGCACGACCAGGGGAGGGGCAGAGAGAGGGACACAGAGAATCCGAAACAGAGAGCCCCATGTGCAGCTCGAACCCACAAACTGGGAGATCATGACCTGAGCTGAAGTCGGATGCTTAACTGACTGGGCCACCCAGGTGCCCCCTGCAGACATTTTAATGACTTAAGAAACTCTTTGTGTGATGATGTAAAAGATCTCCAAAAGGAAAAGGATATGAAACAGTATGTGTAGCATACTGCTATTTGTATAAAAAGGAGAAAAATAAATAAATACAAACTATGTACATATACTTTTTTCTTGTAAAATGTTCTGGAAGGAAATCCAAGAGAATAGTAACATTGGTTGCCTGCAGACAGAGAAAGCAAGGGGCTGGGAGACAGAAGAGGCAAGGAGATCAGTGTATATTCACCATACTCTGATTTTTGAAGCATATGTATGTTTTACACTCCTAAAGATTGGAAATAAAAAAGAATTAACTGTTTTGGGGAGTACTAAACAAGAGCTAAAATACTCTACAGCACAGTGACATGGGAGATGAGAAGGGTGGTGCTCAGAATTAAAGCTTCCTAAGGTCATTTTATTGTTTGAGTAGAGACTTAGGATACTGGTCAAATCTATAATTTGTTAAATTAATTATGAGTGTTGGGGCGCCTCTGTGGCTCAGTCAGGTAAGCGTTGAACCCTTGGCTTCAGCTCAGGTCATGATCTCACAGTCGTGAGATGAAGTCCCACGTGGTTCCACACTGCGTATAGAGCCTGCTTAAGATTCTCTCCCATTCTCTCTCTCTCTCTTCCCTGATTCTCTCCTGCTCATGCTGCCTCAAAAATAAAATTGAGTGTTAAAAATGTGAGGATAATCACTAAAATGAATCATAAATAAGTTAATGAATAATCATTAAAATGAATAATTGTCAAATAGAAGGAAAAAAGAATAAGAAAAAAGAGAAAACATGGGATAATAGAAAATGCAAAACAAAATAGGCAGATGGGGTGCCTGGGTGGCTCAGTCAGTTAAACATCTGACTTTAGCTCAGGTCATGATCTCGTGGTTTGTGAGTTCCAGCCCCATGTTGGGCTCTGTGCTGACAGATCAGAGCCTGGAGCCTACTTTCGATTCTGTGTCTGTCTCTCTCT